TACAGTGAGCCAAGATTGTGCCACTGCACTCCAGCCCTGGTGACAAGAGTGAGACTCCATCTCAAAGAAAAGAAAAAAAAAAGTTGATCTCATAGTAGAGATTAGAATAGTAATTATCAGAGGCTAGGGAGATTGGGGCAGGTGAGAGTAGAGAGGTTGGTCAATGGGTACAAAGCTACAGTTAGGAGGAATAAGTTCTGCTGTTCTATTGTATAGTAGGGTGACTACAGACAACAATTTTATTGTATACTTCAAAATAGCTAGAGGATTTTGAATATTCTCACCAAAAAGAAGTAACAATTGTTTGAGGTGATGAATATGCTAACATTCGTGATTTGATCATTACATAACGTGTATATATATTGAAATATCACATTGTACCCCATAAACATGTATAAGAATTATCTGTCAGTTAAAAAAAAAAATTAAAAGAAAGAAAAAGAAATTCTAGGCTGAGCATTGTGGCTCATGCCTATAATCCCAGGACGCTGGTAGGCTGAGGAAGGAGGATCACTTGAGGCAAGGAGTTCAAGACCAGCCTGGGCAACACAATGAGACTGTATCTCTACAAAAAATACAAAAAGTTATCATGGTGGCACATGCCTATAGTCCCAGCTACCCAGAAGGCTGAGGTGGGACGATCACTTGAGACCCAGAGGTCAAGGTCGCAGTGAGCTGTGGTCGAACCACTGCGCTCCAGCCTGAGCAACCGAGAGAGACCCGTCTCAAAGAAAAAAAAGAAAAAAGAAAGAAAAAAAAAGAAATTCTAAGTTTGCAGCTACCAAAACTGAATTTTTTTCAAGGATCTCCGTGTGAATGAGATGATTTCCCAAGTTTAACAGCCATTGATCTAGACCCTTGATACTCAAAGGAACACAAAGCAGAATCTCAGGCCTATCCCAGACTTACTAAACCAAAATCTAGTTTTCCAAAATCCCTAGGCACAGTTTGAGTGCTGATGTAGAGAGACTCTGCTCTGTAATGCAGAGGGCAGTGAGTGGGATAAGACTCAAGTGTTTGGCTGGGTGTGGTGGCTCACACCTATAATCCCAGGACTTTGGGAGGCCAAGGCAGGTGGTTCACCTGAGGTCATGAGTTCAAGACCAGCCTGACCAACATGGACAAACCCCATCTCTATTAAAAACACAAAATATTCGGGTAAGGTCTTCCTAAAAAATAAAATAAAATAAAAAATACAAAATGAGCCGGGTGTGATGGCGCATGCCTGTAATCCCAACTACTCAGGAGGTTGAGGCAGGAGAATCACTTGAACCTAGGAGGTGGAAGTTGCAGTGACGTGCGCTTAAGCCACTGCACTCCAGCCTGGGCAACAAGAGCAAAACACCATGTTGGGGTGGGTGGAGACTCAAGTGTAACCTGTGACCTGCAATCTGGAAAGATCTGAGTTTCTCCTATGGAATCTGAGGGCTGGCTAAAACTTTAAGAATTATTTTAGTCCTCTTTAATTATTTGCATTAAAAATTTAAATAAAAAAATAATAAAATTTAAAAATAAAGAATTATTTTAGTCCTTTCTTTGCCTTAAGACAGGGCTCCATTTTTGCCATCCAGAATAGATGAGAAAAAAGATTTCATCTCTTCATATCCATGAAAGTCCTAAGTCAAACTCCTTCAGTTTTGGAGTTGAAAGTTTAGGTTTAAATTCCAGATTGGTTATCTACTCACCGTGTGATCCTGGGCAAGTCATTTAATCTTTCTGAATCTTGCTTCTTATCTGTATAATGTGGATAATATAATCTATCCCATAGGGTTGCTAAGAGATCTAATAAAATGCAAGTGTCTAGCACAGGGCTTGGCACAGAATAGGTACTTTAACAAATGATAACTATGCCGGGCACGGTGGCTCACGCCTGTAATCCCAGCACTTTGGGAGGCCAAGGCAGGTGGATCACGAGGTCAAGAGATCAAGACCATCCTGGCCAACACAGTGAAACCCCGTCTCTAAAAAAAACAAAGCAAAACAAAAATGAGAGCTAATAATACTGCATTATTCTGCTGCTTCTTTAGTTTTACAGGGTGTAAAACAGGTTACTACACTGGATGAAAACCACTTGATATAAAGGGAGACCTCAGTTGAAAAAAACACCGAGACCTGTTGGGTCTGTAGAAGGCTCAGGAAACTAAGAGTTTACCCCTAACCTCACTCTCATTCTTGCAGAGGAATGACAACGAACAACTTGAAGGATAGAGATTCCTCATGGGAAGGAACAGGGATATGGATGAGCTGCCACAGAATCTCTTCCCAAGCTCTTTGACAAGGGGCCAAGGCTTCATGCAGCTCCAGTAACATTTCCCAGAATAAGGCTGCTCCACATTAACCTACTGGGATTCCTGCCAGAAACTAGAAGCACAGCAAGGTAAGCTCGAGACTCAGACTCCCTGCAGTTTACATTCTAGGACAGAGGGGGAAAAGAGACATGTAAGACTAGTGAGTCTATCTATGCATGCATTCATGGGTATCTAGACAAATGTAAATGAGAGTACACAAAGACAAAGGTAGCTTAAAAAAAAGAGTCGGCCAGGCGCAGTGGCTCACTCCTGTAATCCCAGCACTTTGGAAGGCCAAGGCAGGCGGATCACGAGGTCAAGAGATTGAGACCATCCTGGCCAACATGGTGAAACCCAGTCTCTACTAAAAATACAAAAATTAGCCGGGCATGGTGGCACATGCCTGTAATTCCAGCTACTCAAGAGGCTGAAGCAAAAGAATCGCTTGAACCCAAGAGGTGGAGATTGCAGTGAGCTGAGATTGCGCCACTGCACTCCAGCCTGGACAGTGAGACTCCGTCTCAAAAAAAGGAGTTATGTGGTGGCATGAGCCTACAGTCCCAGCTACTTGGAAGACTGAGGCAGGAGGATCCCTTGGCCCAGGAGGTTAAGGCTACAGTGAGCTATAATTGTGCCACTGCCCTCCAGCCTGGGTGACAGAACCTTGTGTCTAAAAACAAAAAACACAAAAACAAAAAAAGAAGAGGGCGGAACTTTACAATGTTTCTAAAATTCAAGGGTGTTTCAGACTGGAGAAAAGAAAGCAATTCTACACAGGTCACACAGATAACAAGATATACTACACTGCAGTCAGTAAAAGACAGGTTAGCAACCTAAGTCTGTGGAGAGGTGGGGAAAGGAAAGACAAGTGAAATCAAAGCAGAAGAATCCATTCACTGTCCCAATCTGAGAAAGTGGGGAAGAGCAAAGGAGAGAGCCAAGACTAAGAAACACAACAGAAAATGGACAGAAAACATGTATCAAACATTAAAAATATGTATAGCACCTGGGCACGATGGCTCACACCTGTAATCTCAATACTCAAAGCGGGCAGATCACGAGGTCACGAGATCGAGACCATCCTGGCCAACATGGTGAAATCCCGTCTCTACTAAAAACACAAAAATTAGCTGGGCGTAGTGACGTGCTCCTGTAATTCCAGCTACTCAGGAGGCTAAGGCAGGAAAATCGCTTGAATCCGGGAGATGGGGGCTACAGTGAGCCAAGATTGTGCCACTGCACTCCAGCTTGGCAACAAGAGCAAGACTCCGTCTCAAAATATACACAAAAAATATGTATAGCTTGTAAAACCAATTGTAGGAATTTATGCTAAGGAAATAGTGATGGGTGAACAGTTTGAACTGTACATCTTTTTTTTTTTTTAAATTATATAGACAGGGTCCCACTATGTTGCCCAGGCTGGACTCAAACCCTCCTGGGCTTAGGTGATCCTCTCGCCTTAGCCTCCCAAAGCACTGGGATTGCAGACATGAGCCACCATGCCTGGCTACTACATACCTTTAATGGCAATAAGGTAGGTCACTACACGAATATACTAACATTTATTGAATGAATTCCCTATTACCAAACATTTACGCCATATCCAAATTTTTAGTAGTACAAAACATATGGCAATAAACATTCTTTTATCTAACTCCAGGGGCCTCCTCTCAGTTCTGGGGCGTAAGGAGGGAAATAAATAAATAAATAAATTCAGGGTGGGGTGTGATGGCTCATGCCTGTAATCCTAGCACATTGGGAGGCTGAGGCAGGGGGATCACCTGAGGTCAGATGTTCGAGACCAGCCTGGTAAACATGATGAAACTCTTGTCTCTACTAAAAATATAAAAATTAGTCCGGCGTGGTGGCAGGCGACTTTAATCCCAGTTACTTGGGAGGCTGAGGCAGGAGAATCGCTTGAACCCAGGAGGCAGAAGCTGCTGAGTTCCACCTACACTCCAGCCTGGCTGACAGTTAGACTCCCACACCACTGCACTCCAGCCTGGTTGACAGTTAAGACTCTGTCTCATAAATAAATAAATAAATAAATAAATCTGGCTGGGGACAGTGACTCATGTCTGTAATTGCAGCACTTTTGGCAGTCAAGGCAGGCAGATCACTTAAGGTCAGGAATTCAAGACCAGCCTGGTCAACACGGTGAATGAAACCCTGTCTCCATTAGAAATACACAAATTAGCTAGGCATGGTGGCATGTGCCTGTAGTCCCAGCTACTTGGGAGGCTGAGGCAGGAGAATTACCTGAACTAGGGAGGCAGAGGTTGTAGTAAGACAAGATCACGCCATCACATTCCAGCCTGGGCGACAGAGTACGACTCTGTCTCAAATAAATAAATAAATAAATAAATAAATCCACGTGTCTGTGCTATGCCAAGATCTTTTACACTCAGCTGTGAATCTAAACTGCTCCTACAAAAGAGGCACTATAGCACTGGCTAGCTAAGATCAGTAATGGTACTTCATAATAAATAGGTCTCGAATTCTGATGTTTCGCCACGGAATCGTGACTTTGTGGAAGGAGGACCACATTAGAATTTATAATTATTTTGGATTTAAGTGACATAATTCTTATAAGCGTTATATCTAGCTATAAACTGATTTCTAATTCTTGATTTTGGAGATCTGTCAAAAAGGACTAAGTCCTAGCTTTGCGCAATGGCAGTATCATAGCCAACGAGGTCTACCCGAGCACAATTATTGCTAATTGAAAACTTTTCCCAATACTCCGCTGTGACAACTTGCAGAATTTAGTTGGCATTGGCAATTTTTGACAGTCTCTATGGAGACTGAATTAAAAAAAAAAAAGGACTAAATCCTAAGAGCCAGCTTTGGCAAGACACCTTGATTTTACCTAGTACCCACCAAAGTCACCAGATAAACTTTGACAACATACAACAGAGGTTTAGCTACTTTAAGCATTATCTAAACAAACATTTGTTAAAAAGAAATTCTTAGGCTGTAAAATCAGAACCCTATTTAGTATTGCTTTTATGTGCTTACAAATCCTATCACCTATTTCCAAATGGTACCAGTCTGAAAAAAAAAAAAAAAGGAGAAATAAAAGGATTGGTCCAATAGTCTGATTTCATAAGACTTTATTTCTTCCTATGGAAGAAATACCTGGTATATGAGGAGATTATATAAAATAAGTCAATGGAAATTGATTTCTTTTTTATTATTTTTTGAGACTCTGTCACCCAGGCTGGAGTACAGCAGTGGCGTGATCTTGGCTCACCGTAACCTCAGCCTCCTGGGTTCATGTGATTGTCCTGCCTCGTCTCCCAAGGAGCTGGGACTATAAGCACATGCCACTATACCCAGCTAATTTTTGAATTTTTAGTAGAGGCGGAGTTTCACCATGTTGGCCAGGATGGTCTCGAACTCCTGACCTCA